TGGTGGTGGTAGTGGTAGTGGATCACAAGCTGTTACAGCACCTCTGTTGGTGGTAGTGGTAGTGGTGGTGGATCACAAGCCCTTACAGCACCTCTGGTGGTGGTAGTGGTGGTGGATCACAAGCCCTTACAGCACCTTTGTTGGTGGTGGTGGTGGATCACAAGGCCTTACAGCACCACTGTTGGTGGTGGTGGATCACAAGCTCTTGCAGCACATCTGTTGGTGGTGGTGGTGGTGGTGGATCACAAGTTCTTACAGCACCTCTGGTGGTGGTGGTGGTGATGGTGGATCACAAGCTCTTACAGCACCACTGTTGGTGGTGGTGGATCACAAGGTCTTGCAGCACATCTGTTGGTGGTGGTGGATCACAAGCTCTTACAGCACCTCTGGTGGTGGTGGATCACAAGCTCTTACAGCACCTCTGATGGTGGTGGTGGTGGTGGATCACAAGCCCTTACAGCACCTCTGGTGGTGGTTTTAGTGGTGGTGGATTACAAGCTCTTAAAGCACCTCTGTTGGTGGTGGTGGTGGATCACAAGCTCTTACAGCACCTCTGATGGTGGTGGTGGTGGTGGATCACAAGCCCTTACAGCACCTCTGGTGGTGGTGGAATACAAGCTCTTAAAGCACCTCTGTTGGTGGTGGTGTTGGATCACAAGCTCTTACAGCACCCCTGGTGGTGATGGTGGTGGTAGTGGAAGTGGGTCACAAGCCCTTACAGCACCTCTGTTGGTGGTGGTGGTGGATCACAAGCCCTTACAGCACCTCTGGTGGTGGTGGTAGTGGTGGTGGATCACAAGCTCTTGCAGCACCTCTGTTGGTGGTGGTGGTGGATCACAAGCTCTTACAGCACCTCTGGTGGTGGATCACAAGCTCTTACAGCACCTCTGGTGGTGGTGGTAGTGGTGGTGGTAGTGGTGGTGGATCACAAGCTTTTACAGCACCTCTGTTGGTGGTGGTGGTGGATCACAAACTCTTACAGCACCTCTGGTGGTGGTGCTGGTGGATCACAAACTCTTACAGCACCTCTGATGGTGGTGGTGGTGGATCACAAGCCCTTACAGCACCTCTGGTGGTGGTGGTGGTAGTGGTGGTGGATTACAAACTCTTAAAGCACCTCTGTTGGTGGTGGTGTTGGATCACAAGCTCTTACAGCACCTCTGGTGGTGATGGTGGTGGTGGGGATCAATAGCCCTTACAGCACCTCTGGTAGTGGAGGTGGTGGTAGTGGTGGTGGATTACAAACTCTTAAAGCACCTCTGTTGGTGGTGGTGGTGGATCACAAGCTCTTACAGCACCTCTGGTGGTGGTAGTGGTGGATCACAAGCTCTTACAGCACCTCTGTTGGTGGTGGTGGTGGATCTCGAGCCCTTACAGCACCTCTGGTGGTGGTGGTGGTGGTGGTGGATCACAAGCTCTTACAGCACCACTGTTGGTGGTGGTGTTGGTGGTGGATCACAAGCTCTTACAGCACATCTGTTGGTGGTGGTGGTGGATCACAAGCTCTTACAGCACATCTGTTGGTGGTGGTGGTGGATCACAAGCACTTACAACACATCTGGTGGTGGTAGTGGTGGATCACAAACCCTTACAGCACCTCTGGTGGTGGTGGTAGTGGTGGTGGATCATAAGCTCTTACAGCACCTCTGTTGGTGGTGGTGGTGGATCACAATCTCTTACAGCACCTCTGGTGCTGATGGTGGTAGTGGTAGTGGATCACAAGCTGTTACAGCACCTCTGTTGGTGGTGGTGGTAGTAATGGTGGATCACAAGCTCTTACAGCACCTCTGGTGGTGGTGGTTGTAGTGGTGGTGGATCACAAGCCCTTACAGTACCTCTGGTGGTGGTGGTAGTGGTGGTGGGTCACAAGCCCTCACAGCACCTCTGGTGGTGGTGGTGGTGGTGATGGGTCAGGGGTGGTGGTGGTGGTGGTGGATCACTAGCTCTTACAGCACCTCTAGTGGTGGTGGTGGTGGATCACAAGCTCTTATTGCACCTATGGTGGTGGTGGTAGTGGATCACAAGCTCTTATTGCACCTATGGTGGTGGTGGTAGTGGATCACAAGCTCTTACAGCACCTCTGGTGGTGGTGGTGGTAGTAGTGGTGGATCACAAGCCCTTACAGCACCTCTGGTGGTGATGTTGGTGTTGGTGGTGGATCACAAGCTCTTACAGCACCTCTGGTGGTGGTGGTGGATCACAAGCTCTTACAGCACCTCTGGTGGTGGTGGTGGATCACAAGCTTTTGCAGCACCTCTGGTGGTGGTGGTGGTGGATCACAAGCTCTTACAGCACCTCTGGTGGTGGTGGTGGTGGATCACAAGCTCTTAGAGCACCTCTGTTGGTGGTGGTGGTAGATCACAAGCTCTTATAGCACCTCTGGTGGTGGTGGTGGTGGTGGATCACAAGCTCTTACAGCACCTCTGGTGGTGGTGGTGGATCACAAGCTTTTGCAGCACCTCTGGTGGTGGTGGTGGTGGATCACAAGCTCTTACAGCACCTCTGGTGGTGGTGGTGGTGGATCACAAGCTCTTATAGCACCTCTTTTGGTGGTGGTGGTGGTAGTGGTGGTGGATTACAAGCTCTTATAGCACCTCTGGTGGTGGTGGTGGTGGTGGGGAACAGAAGCCTTGGTGGTGGTGGTGATACTGCATGGTACCTTATACAGTGGGACACAATACATGTAGTGGGGAACCACACATGCATGTGGACACCATACATGTAGTGAGGCACCATACATGTAGTGAGGCACCATACATGTAGTGAGGCACCATACATGTAGTGGGGAACTATACATGCAGTGGGGCACCATACATGTAGTGAGGCACCTTACATGTAGTGAGGCACCATACATGTAGTGGGGAACTATACATGCAGTGGGGCACCATACATGTAGTGAGGCACCATACATGTAGTGAGGCACCATACATGTAGTGAGGCACCATACATGTAGTGAGGCACCATACATGTAGTGAGGCACCATACATGTAGTGGGGAACTATACATGCAGTGGGGCACCATACATGTAGTGAGGCACCATACATGTAGTGGGGAACTATACATGCAGTGGGACACCATATATGTAGTGAGGCACCATACATGTAGTGGGGAACTATACATGCAGTGGGGCACCATACATGTAGTGAGGCACCATACATGTAGTGGGGAACTATACATGCAGTGGGACGCCATACATGCAGTGGGACACCATGCATGCAGTGAGGCACCATACATGCAGTGGGGAACTATACATGCAGTGGGACACCATACATGCAGTGGGGCACCATACATGTAGTGAGGCACCATACAGGCAGTGGGGCACTGTGCATGCAGTGGGACACCATACATGCAGTGGGGCACCATACATGCAGTGGGACACCATGTATGCAGTGGGACACCATACATGCAGTGGGACACCATACATGCAGTGGGGCACCATACATGTAGTGAGACACCATACATGTAGTGAGGCACCATACATGCAGTGGGACACCATACATGCAGTGGGGCACCATACAGGCAGTGGGACACCATGTATGCAGTGGGACACCATGTATGCAGTGGGAAACTATACATGCAGTGGGGCACCATACATGCAGTGGGACACCATGTATGCAGTGGGACACCATACATGCAGTGGGGCACCATACATGCAGTGGGGCACCATACATGCAGTGGGGCACCATACATGCAGTGGGGCACCATACATGTAGTGGGGCACCATACATGTAGTGGGGCACCATACATGCAGTGGGGCACCATACATGCAGTGGGGCACCATACATGCAGTGGGGCACCATACATGTAGTGGGGCACCATACATGCAGTGGGGCACCATACATGCAGTGGGGCACCATACATGTAGTGGGGCACCATACATGCAGTGAGGCACCATACATGCAGTGGGGCACCATACATGTAGTGGGGCACCATACATGTAGTGGGGCACCATACATGTAGTGGGGCACCATACATGCAGTGGGACACCATACATGCAGTGGGGCACCATGTATGCAGTGGGACACCATACATGTAGTGGGGCACCATACATGCAGTGGGGCACCGTGCATGCAGTGGGACACCATACATGCAGTGGGGCAGCATACATGCAGTGGGGCACCATGCATGCAGTGGGACACCATACATGCAGTGGGGCAGCATACATGCAGTGGGGAATTATACATGCAGTGGGACACCATACATGCAGTGGGACACCATACATGCAGTGGGGCACCATACATGCAGTGGGGCACCATACATGCAGTGGGGCACTGTGCATGCAGTGGGGCACCGTGCATGCAATGGGACACCATACATGCAGTGGGGCACAATACATGCAGTGGGACACCATACATGCAGTGGGGCACCATACATGCAGTAGGGCACAATGTATACATGCAGTGGGGCACCATGCATGCAATGGAGCACCATGTATGCAGTGGGATACCATACATGCAGTGGGACACAATACATGCAGTAGGGCACCATACATGCAGTAGGGCACCATACATGCAGTGGGGCACAATGTATACATGCAGTGGGGCACCATTTAGTACTGGAGTATGATGGTCCTCCACCATATCACTAATGGGAAGAAATACAATTACGAGGTGCTTAATTAATCTTTGATTTAGAGCTGACCATTGTTTTATTTACCCTGTTGAAATCATATTTCCTCCATCATTTTTGTGCTGTGACAGCCTAAACTATCCTTTATTATGGGTGATATTAATTTAATTAATTTTAAAAACTATTAGTTTTATTTAAAAACAAAAGAATATATTACTGTTTAGTGATTTAATAATTATTACAGAGTATGTATATTTTTGGGTGTTTTAAACTGATTTGTTCCTTTAAATATTGCCTTGATGACATATTTTTACTGCAAATGTTGTCTTGGGGTAGTGTTTCACATATATTTATTGTATT